AAGCTGAAATTTTCAGGGAATGTTCCTAGTTTATGTACAACAAAAATTTAACAGATTCAGTCTTCATTGGTGGTTCTCTTGTACGGCCCCGTAATTTTTTGGCGGAAAAATGGCTAACTCGGGAAATAGTAAAGCTAGGAGCTGAAATTTTAAGATGTGTTCCTAGCCTCCGTAAAAGTTAAAGATATCAAATTCAGCCCTCTGATACGTTTGGCTCTCATGTACAAATCCGTGAAATTTTTGGCAGGAATATTGCTAACTTTAGAACGGGAAAAGTTGGAAAGCTGAAATTTTGGCTGAATGTTCCCTGTCCAAGTACTGCGTAGACAATTAACTTCCCGAACTTCAAGGGCCAGTATGTCGCAAATCCTAGCTACCAAGTTTCCGAGCGATCTCATCATAGCATGAAATACTGCAAAAACGCATAATCGTATGGGCCCGCCTGGTGCGCGTCGCCAATAATTTAGAAGGGCACACCAAACTAAACCGATTGTTGCTCTTTTAATGCATTTTTGCATAAATCACTTCGGAATTATATTTTGGCGGAACAATATCGATCCATATTTGTCTATAACGGATCTCTCTGGCTGTTGCTGAAATTGGGCTAAATATTACAAGAGCTTGAGAGTTGAATTTAGAATGACATTCATCTTAAGCACCTAGGGAGTCAGAAATAATTTTTGCGCTTTCGTATGTTTAACCGCAAGGGATATGGGAGACTGAGTAGCAACTGTGTTGTCATGATAATGGGTCGTGAGTCCATCAAAGACATGACCTCACGATTCATCATCGTACCAACACATTTGCTACGCATTAACCGGAGTCTCACTCACAACTAAGCTGTATTTCATCATCCAGTAAATTATTCCAAAAAGCCAGTGTAATAAAATAAATAATTGGCCAACACACGGGCTGCCCGTGCGAAAATGCGTTTTTTGCACAGATCCCTGCAGTCTTCGTCGCTATCGGTACCGGTTCTTCCGGCAAATGCTTCTAGCTAAACAAATTGAGGCTGGCCACCAGAATTGTCAGGAAACACTCCTTTAAAATTTTAACTTTCTAACTTTCCTGGCTCCTGAGTTAGCAACTTACTCGAAAAGAACTTTCATGGGCCCGTACATGGGTACTACGCATACCCGATGTCTGAGTCTGAGCTCGTTGAGACTTACGTGGATGGGGAAAATCCTCTTAAG